GTGGTGTTGCTGTTACTTAGTGCTATAGCTAGTTAGTTAGTTAGTCTGACTCCGTAGTTAAGCTGAAGGATTAGTAGAGGAACAATACTAAAATACAGAGTGGGATTGATGGATTGGATGATAGGTCGTCGTCATGACCCTGACGTACTATTGGGGTGGTTGATGGAGCTGGTAGACCCTGAAGTGGGAGTATCTATTCCGTATCTGTGAGGAGAATTATGCAGTGGCGTGGATAAATAGTACGGAGTACGGAGTAGAGATATCTACATTATGATAGTAGTGCATGCAGTGTCTATTAACATTGTACCCCAATACGACAGAATGAATAAAATAAGTACCAATTTCACCCCCCGGAACAATCAAATCAAAGATACCCATGCACTCCGTAATAATAATAAGAGTATCACCCCTCCGCTATAGCCGCAAGCGCAGCTACAACATCCCAGTCCAACAGACGAATAAAACCACCCGGAAATGCGGGCAAGACTTATCTCCTAAGCTACTACCTAGCTAGTAGCTTACCCATTAAAGCAACGGACACACTCCGCACTTGCACATTCACCTAACCTCAATGGGTATATGCAAAGGGCAGCAATTAATTTATTCTTAAACTATGTTTCCTTTCCCCTCAGCAATAATAGATTAGTTAACGTTATGAGGAAAGTGAGTAAGAAGTAGTCAGACCAATTAGCGCGGGATGTCCGATTCTCAGCTCGCACTAACTAAGCACCACCACTCTCCAGATGGAGTGAGTGACCCCCATAGTACTACTTATTTACTTATGGACTAGGTAGATACTAGGCAGGGCAGAGTTTCAACGACGCGGAAAGCTCAGATTAGTAAAGAATCCGAGAAAATCCGCCAGGTTCCAGACAAACAATCCCACCCGATCCCATCCCATCCCAAGCTAGAATACTACGTATGTACTATGCTATCCTAGGAAGGCTCAAAAGCTGAAGAAGGACCAATTTTTCAGATTCTTTCAAATCAGGTAGGTGGTTTGGTGGAAGTTTTTCCATCGCTATCGGATATACCCGCCGCTATGCTGCCACTACTACCAGTGGGAAATGGAAAATTATGCTCGGAACCACCGGGCAAATTCTACGTTCCGCTTAGCATTACTACTTACTATGTATGTATCTTCGGAGTACCTCGCTATGAGAGAATCAGGGAAAGGTTCACGGAACGGTAAAAAAGTCAATTCTAATTTTTCTTTAAAAAAGGGGTTGTAAAGCTTAAACAAGAATAAACGGTAGGAAGTTTGCCAGTGGTTGGTGCCCCATCAAGACATAGCTAGCTAACTTACTTTACTATATTATATTATACCAAATTAAACTAAACTATACTCTACTGAGTATGCTGTGCGGTTACTCCGTGGAAAGTAAACTATATCAGCCACTATTAAGCTTGGGCACTACTTATCAATCTGGATAAAACTGGCGAGACAAGGGAGGGGATGGGGGTGTTGTGTGTCATGTCATGTCATGTCTGCTGCACTCTTGTTTAGGGTCAGGTTAGGCAGTAGGGGGCCAGAAGAAGGGAAGAAAGAAAGAAAGAAAGAAGTGAAAAGGGTGAGTTGAGACCCACTCTCTCTTCTTTTTTTTCTCCGAATGTCTTGTCCTATGGGGGTTTACCATCCCAGGATACGTTATCATCGTCAGTAGCAGTAAGTAGCAGCGGCGACGGCGGCTGTTTTTACCGCCTACAAGAGCAAGCTTCTACAGAATAAGGTAGGCGTGTGCGTATATCCTATCCTTACGGGCCTATCCTATCCGCGGGTATGGTACACGGAGACAGTAGATAGATATTCTTCCGAAAGTCCCGTCCCGATCCCTTATCCGAAGGAAAGTTGAAAACCCAAAAAGTCAAAAATCAACAACTCCGATATCGAAGCCCACCTAAAGAGGAAAGTTCATCAGGAAAAACCCCATCGGATAGGGGGGTGGGAAAGTCAAAAATATCCTCATAAGGAGAAAATAATACCACTAAATCGAGAAATAAAAACGTGTGTATACTGTATACTACTACGGAGTAGTGAACGATCTCCAGCCTCGTCCTCGTAGCGAACAAAGCTCCACTGCGACCGACCATCCAAACCCATCGCATCGCATCGCATCGCATCGATCACGTTTCGTTTCCGATTTCAGGTTCTCCAGATTCGAATCCATCCATCCATCCCGTTCGATTCAGGAGAAGAAAAGAAACAGAGAGGGGGTAGAGGGAGGGTGGAACTGGGAATGTGCTCTCTCTAACCGAATGCAAATCGTGGGCACAGTGCCTCGCGCGACCGTTTCACATAAACAACAGCAACTCCGACTAACGTGAATACCAACCCTTGGTTCTGGGTCGGTCGCTTGGAGAAACAAGGACGTTTTTTAACCGCGCCGACCGGCGGTAAGTTAGTAAGTGAGTCTTCCTCGCAGGGACCGCGGGAAGATCACTACTCACGGGCTGGGGAGGGGAGGGGGGGAAGAATAGAGGTTGTGAGTGGTCGGAAGTAGATGATTACGGAGAAGCGACTAGAATCTTGACGAGAGGGATTGGGTCGGTGGGAGGTTGGAGATCAAACCAAAGTGTGGGTGGGATGGATATGGATGGATGGATGGATCCATGGATGATGATGGGATGGGATGGATCGGGGAAAATCAATCAAATCGTTGGGCGGGCGGAGCGGGCGGGCTACTAGTGATGTTGAGCTTTTTCCGTTTAAGGAAATCGGCTAGGGTTGATTTGATTCGATCAGATCGGGGGGTGGTTTTTTTGGAGATAGCAGTATCGTAGACTAATTTATTTTATTATTTTATTTTTCCATTGGATTTAGTTTGGGGGTTGTTCTGGCTCTGGTTCTGTTTCCGCCCCCATTGTCCTCCTTCTACGGAGTAGTCAGGTATCGGACGTAGATGGATGTTGGGCGTTAATGGTAATAACAAATGTCTGTTATGGGATAGGGTTGTTGAGTGTGTGGTGTATGAGGATCATACGAGCTCAGCTGAATGGTGTCTGCGCCGCCCCCTGAGGCATTCCGGGGGGTTGATAGTTAGGAGGGCGCAGCACCCAGCGACTATTGGAGTGGCAATATTTGGAGCTGGATGAGGAGGCGGAGAAGGAGAGAAGAAAGGCTGTTATAAACAATCTATCTGGAACAATAAGAGCTCCCCCATCCATGCATAAATCTGCATAGCTGACGATCAAACCGGGTGCGGGAAGAAGGGAAAATCAAACCGTAAATCTGAGAATAGCTAGTCAAGCTACTCCGTAGGTTGGTTCCGGGAGAGAAAAATAAGGGAAAGTCACATCTCAACGCTTCAGCTACATATCCACATTACTAGTACAAAACAAGATCTATGGGGGGAAGTAACAGAATAATACTAATAATATCGGATACTAATGTCGCATCATTTGGGCAGAAGACAGGGGGTGTGGGATGAATGAAGAGGTGCACCAATGATTCAACATCATTCTCTGTTTTCTCTCTTTGGCTGAACGCACTAATCCCCACAGTCGTATATTAAGGTCCCCGAAACAACCGCATCGGTTCTGTTGGGCATACGACCAGATGGCCGATAGAGTCGGCAGGGGGTTGGTGATGGAGATGGGGATAGGCGAGACAGCTTTAAAAATAAACCTGACAGAGCTTTGTAGATTGCTTCACTAAATTGTAATGTGGGAGGTGGATTGTTTCAGCTGTCAGGATGCTATTCCCGGCGGCAGTAGTAGTGATAGAATGCAATATAATACAAATTAACCATAATCAATTTTAAATGCATCCATACATTTGACTGAGCGTTGTGCGTGTGTGCCTGGGGCTTAATCAATTTCGAGCATCAATTGTTAATATTGACGATCGCTTGACTGGGCTCGTCTGCCTGCTTGGCAAACTGACGTACCCCGTATCTTGGGTCGTGGTCAGAGGGGATCCATGGATGCGCTGTTGGAACTTTGGTTGCTCTATCTGCAGCATCCGCAGCAGGTTCGGATGCTGGAACCTCATTCGATGCTTCCACCAGAATAATATGCCATCGTGGAGATTGTGTAACGGTCGCCCAGGGCTCCACTGCCAAGCCCTTCCTCATCCTTGACCAATGGATCGGAAAAGCGGAACATGCTCGAGCCAGAACAGGAGATAGGGGAAAAACTTGGATGAGTGGTAACGAGATGAACACAGATCGGTTGTCGTTCACCACCCCCCCAAAATGCGAAGGGCGTAAATTTCCTAATTAGTCCGTCTGTCAAATCAGGATGCAGGATCGGGGATGGAACTGAGGGTACGTCACGGTGTGCATGTCGCGAGTGGACGGAAGTGGATTAGCGGGGCGCTAACAACCAGAATTCCAAATCAGATGTAAAAAAAGATCAGCGGTAGTTAATTAATGCGAGAATCTCTTGGCCGGCAGGGCTCCAGATCCATTGCGCCGGCGGTGACTGGTGTCTGCTACTGCTGCTGCTTCTTCTTCGTTTCCTCACTAGGCCATTGTTGGTTTTGGTGTTGGCATTGTCGTCTACTCCGTATTGTCGAACTCCTTTAGTTCACTGGAGTATTGGGTTTCCCCATGGTGCGACTGGCACGGATGTAGAATGTCTTGTTTCATGCTATATTTGTTCTGGAACTTGGTAAGCGATTCAACGTCACAAGAAAGTCCCAAATTTGGTCCTGTGTAACCCCCGGAGCCTTGTGTCAGAATATGCCCAACCTGGTAGGTGTGTATGTGTATGTGTATGGGTATGTACTGATGTGTAACCCATGCGTCTGAGAGATATCTACATAGTCATGCGTACTTGATACGAAGCGTAGGATATCCCCTACCGGCCAACGGCCGTCAGAGAGGGTCACTGGAGAGCCAACGTCCTCCAGGACGAGCTGCATCATCCTTTCCTCACCCTTGAACTTGACTCCACCCAACCTTGACTCCAGCTGAATCTGCACCGCCTACCGGTAGGCGAGCAGGAGCTGGTATGCTCATGCACGCATGGCAGCGCAACAGTGGTGCGTGTGAGATGTTCGATTGGCTGAAACAGACCACCAGTCGTGGGTATGCAGTGCGTAGAGCACTGGAGACACTCCATGAGTGCCAGTGCATACATAATACACCACACAGAGTGGATTACAGCTCCTGCGTTCGGTGACCCCGCCGATGCCTTCATTCTTGATCAGTCATGGTGATTGCCTGATCGGCATACGTGCAGCACTGTCCCCTTCACTGGGTGTGGCTTGGTATCCGTCGCGAGTGTGGCGAGTCAGGTTGGGAAGGAGAAGCCATGTCTCCGAACAGCACGTCACGATTGGGATAGCCCAAGAAGCCACTAGTGAGTTGGACACCCAAGTCCAGACCAGGAAGGTCGTAGTGGCACATCTCGAGGAAAATGGTGGCGGGAATGGAGGGGAAAAAAGGAAAGGCTGCTCCATCGTCCTTATCGTTCGTCCTTATGCGCTTCCCTTATTTTTCTTTTCTTTTTTTTTTTTTTTCATTTTCACTTTTGTCTTTTCTTTTCTTTTTTTTTTTTCTGCTTCCCTTCTGCCTGTTCTCTACTATAGGCTGCTTTGGAGCCCGCTTCTTCGGGGACCGCTCGATTGCTGACATGACGAGAAAGCCATTGGGGAGAATGAAGCCCGTCGGATTCCCCATCCCCCATAACTCTCTCGTACCGCGGATGGGTCCCAAATGAGACAGGCGGTTGTTCAATTTCCAACAAGCTTACTTACCTTATCCAGGCTGAATGCTTGCGCAAAGGTAAAAACAACACAATAAAAATAAAAGTAAATAAATAAATATATCAAAACAAAAATCAAAATAACAAAACGGGACAGCCCTGCTTCGAGACCGTTAGCGACATGTGCGTAAACGAGTAAAGAAAGGGAGGGTACAAAAGGAAAGGGAGGGGTGCTGGCGAATCAATCCAGTCAAATCGGAATCCACCAAGTCCCTGGGATAAACTTTGTCTGGCTATCAACCTTACCTCCCAACTGGGGCCAAATTAACGTAGTACTTCAGTAAGAAGAGGAGGAGGAGGAGGAGGAGGAGGTGGTGGTGGTGGTGGTGGTGCTGGTAGTGGAGGGGGGAGAAAGGGTAAAGCCTTCCGGCCATTGAGAGCACCCATTGACACTGGCCGTTATGCATGAACCATCACGACTTCCAATATCCACACCCATTCATTCGCCATGCCAATCCCGAAACTCCAAGTGGAAGGATTGGATCAGACAGTCGTCAGCTGTGTTCCTAATGGACCTATCCATTCCACCTTTCCCGTAAAGATGGTCTGCCATGCGCCAACGACGGTTGGTGGATGCTGTCCGGTGGTGGTGCTGCTGTGTCTCTGTTCAGCCAACCTTGTATGTATGTATGTAGTATGTGGTGGTAGTTTCCACTCCCTTCAATGTGAATTCATAAATCATTCTTCTTTTTATTTCAATATTCCATATTCCATTTTAGGCCTTTTTTTTTTCTAATCCCGGGTTTTCTTGGTCTCTTCCGAACCCAGTAATTGTGCTGTCACGCTGCCTTCCCTCCTTGAACCTGCTCGTGTCTCTCCCATGCAGTCTCGCCTCGTAACTTTGGGTCGCCCCTTGCGTTCTGAACCTCAGATTCCGCGGCTTTCACGGGAAGACAGGAGCTGATGACAGCCAGCCACAGTCACGGAGGATATGCGGCGTTGTTCCAGTGGATCCTCGCCCCCTATCATCCTCCTGGGCTCGTCCATGAGCGCAACGGTCAAGCCTGGCTGGCGCCCAAGAAAGTAAGCCTGCCAGATCCGGAAATATCATCCCCCATCCAGAATGGGTGTGTGGTGGCCGCGTCGAGAGAGGATTTAGTCAAAGAAACAGTATTCGGAATTTACAAATTAAGGGAGAGAAGAGAGGAGTTATTTGAGTGGGAAGTATTATTAATGTATCATTAAACGATCATCTGGTCGATAGCGCAATGTAACAACCAACAGTCATGGGGTATTATTAGATCCAAGCTCACAGTACTTTCCAAAAGTCTCCAAAACCAAACCATATACATGCAAACAATGGACAGCACTCCTCAATCTCCTCTATACACAATGATTAACCCCATACCCAGTAAGCCAAATGATGAGCGACAAAGAAAATAAGGGAAGGGAACACAATAACTATGACAAAAGGAGATCCCGAATGCTTTTTTTGGTACCGTAAGGAAACCGGGCCGTATCCACGTGACCCGCAGTGGAAATAGCCGAGCCGAACAATCCAAAAAGACAATATACATGAGGTGATGATATAAGTACAAAGGAAATTATGCCAAACAAAGGAGTGACGAGGGTCGGGAGGTCATGTACATAAAATTTCCCATAGAAAATCGATGACAGAAGAAAAGTTCGTTGATCATATCCAGCAATGGTCGCTATCGTCATTTAGTTGAGCAAGTTCTGAAGACCCATCCGCGAGTCGCGCGGGGCTTCTGTCTTGTCTTCGATCGGAGCAGACCATGTGGGAGATAGCGGAGAGTGCTGGTTCCATTGCTGGTGATCGGAGATCCACCGTTGCTTCAACGAGAGATCGTGGTAGGCATAGATCTCATCCGAAGTGCTCTGCCTGCGGAAGTCGCCGTATTGCTGTCTCATGTCCACCGGAAGGGGAAGAAGCTGTGGCGAGGCGATGGTCCTGGGAGAGGAGGAAGAGACGGAGTTGTGGTCCGAGATCATGGAGGGAGGCTCCATGGAAGAAGCTTCCGAGAAGGCAGGCGAGGTGAGAGGAGTTTCGACAGGGCGGTTAAGAGCAGGAAGTGTGTAGATCGGGGTCAACTGGCGGGGGCAGTCGATGGAAGAGGCGGAGAAGGAATCCCTCCGAGATGAAGGAGACTTGGTCCAGGAAGTCAGAGGTCTGTCGTTGGAGATGGAAGAGTAGCGAGAGCGGCTGATGGGGCTGCTCATGCCCAGAGAGGCCCGCGCATATGGGGCCTCGACCCGTCCGTGCATCGTGCGTCCGGCGTGAGGCGAGCTGGAGGTAGGGAGACCTCTTCTCTTGCGGTTCATGCTGCCGTTCCACCAGTTCTTAACTGCATTGTCGCTGCGGTTTCCAAGGCGTCGTGCAATCTCAGCCCAGCGCTTGCCCATTTCGTTGACCATCCGCTCGATCATCAAGCCCTCCTCAGCAGAGATGGGCTCACGGTTCAAAGAGGGCTTGAGGTTCTGGTGGAAGCGCTCCCGGCATTGCTTGGGCGAGCGGTAGTGCATGTGCTGAGAGATGCGGACCCAGTTGTTGGGGCCTTGTTCGCGAACCAACTGAAGGAGCAACTGGTCCTCTTCGGGAACCCAGGGTCCACGACGATGAGTGGGAGCCATTGCAAGTACTTGACAAGGAAGAATTGATCCGAGTGATTGATGGAAGAATTTAGGTAGTTGAGAATCTAAGGATGTAATGTTAGACTCCAGAAATGCCAGGAGGTCGGAGAGTTTTTAAAAGAGAGTTGGGGACAGTCGAAGGGGAGGCGCCGACAGAGTTCAGGTACTATGCGTGGGCGGGGAGGGTTGACGTCTTTAAAGGGAACAGGCTTCTTACCGTGGGGTTGGCTGTGTGGGAGGTTTAGTGTACCCGGAGCGGACTAGACCAGACACACACACACACACACAAGTGTAATAGACACACGCGGGTGATGGATAAGGGACGAGAGTAGGGTAGATAGACAAGCAAGGAGGGAGGAGCAATGACCACGCAACCGAGCTGTTGGGTTATGTAGGAAGCAAGAGTGGGAAGTTGGGGAGTGAGAGTTTGTTTGATGATGGAGAAAGAATAAGGTTCAAAGGTGCGTCGTCGAGGTGGTAGATATATAGGAAGAGAGGTGAGACCCGGAAGGGGGAATTGGAATTAGAGAAAGGGCGATAGACAATAGTCGTGTCAAGGAGTGATGGAGATGAAGGTTACGATCATCTATTATAGCAACAAGCAGCAGCAGCAGAATACAATGACCAGGGAGACGGGTCAGAGAAAAATGGCTACTGCTCCACACTTAGAGCACGCTATAGGAGAAGATCTGATCCAAGATCTCGGAGCTGACAGTTGTGTCGGAGGAATAAATTTAATAATAATAAATGCCAAATATTATTGATTTTTTTTGGAATTGGATTTTTCAATTTTTTGTGTTGTGATGATTTTATTTTTTCCTAATTTATTTTTTGATTTTCTGATTTTCGATTTCCTGGGCCCCCCCTCCTCTTTTTTTATTTTTTTATTTTCCTGACGCCCCAGTCAGTACCCGCTCGGTATGTATGGTATTCTCCGTATAGTTTACTTTTAGTACCGCAGTATGCGTGTAAAATACACTAGTCACGAGTAGTAGTAACAGGTAGTCCTTAGTAGGGGGAAGCTAGGTATTAGGCAGGTACCACCTCAGGTAGCCTTCCTCAAGGAGGCAGAGCTAGCCTAGGGGCACAGACCTACTAGGCTAGTCCATTTGATTAATTTAGATTGACCTTCATCCATAGCTCTACTACTACTGCCCTTTTGACGCCCCAGGCTGTAACTATATGGGAGGCACTGCGGGTGCGGGTTATATGATGACAAAAAGAAAATAAGAAATAAAAATTAATCCAATGTGTGTCTGGACTATAACCGATCTTTGGAGGTCAAAGTGGGGAAATGTGAGGTTGACGGGCAACTTCTTGCAGTATCTCTTTTGGGTAATTCAGACCCATCAATTGACAGGGGGGGGGGGGGGGGAAGAGAAGGAAAGAATTGCAAAGCAACCACACGACCACCGGAGGGGCTGGAAAAAAGGAAACAGGGCAGCTATCAGGATCAGTTGCAGCAGTCTCAGAAGCTGGCGTTTCCAGATCGTGGGGAGAGGATTTGCCACTATCCAATACCTAGTATAGGTGCTAACCTAGTAGTGAATGATTCTTACCAGAGGATCGGTGTTGCAGCAGGGATCATGGATGATACTATTCTTACTGGCGTGGTGAGGCATAGAGATGGATACTCTATAGTCGACTTGATCCTTTTTCTGCAACTAATTTGCCCCCGTTCCTCTCTTTCGTCAAAGAACTGCGGTATCGAAGAACATTGTGTAAGAGACAAGAAGCAGGCTGAGACGTCCAGGGGAACCCATTCCATGAATCGTATCTGTGACAAGGCTACCCTGGTTGACACGAGTGCCATCTTCTTACGGTGTGCCACACAGGGCATCTAGCAAGCATGCTATCCTGAATGTGATTTTTTGACTACGGCGTTTCTCGGACATCACATCCTGGGCGGTTGATCTACCCATCCATCGCTGATAGTTTAATCCTGTTGGTGACAAAATCCTCTCGATAGAGACTAATTGCCTTGACCGGAAAGAATAGTAATGGATGGATGGATGAGAAATTCCAACTTTCCGCATCAGCCCAGCTGATCCGACAGATAGGCGCGATGAAACGTACAATAATAGCAGCACGACAGGGAGAATTAATTAAAAATTTGTGGATGCTTTTCAAAACACAAGAGGGAGAAAAAGTGCGAGAGCAAGTCTACGGTACCGATCAGTCGGGCGTCGACTAAACGGGAAGATCCCAAGCCTAGTTGGTTAGTTCACGGCCCTTTTCCGCTTCTTATGGCAGACTGCAGACCATGGGCGATCTATCCACCAGATCCAGTTTCGACTGCTACTACTAGGTAAGTATGGGTACGTATGGTTTGGCCCATGCTCGTCAAAGTTCAGGCCCTGACAGGAAAACGGGAGCGGCAGAAACGGTCTGGGAGGTAGGCGAATGAGGATAGGAGTGGTCATACTGACCGGATGGGTTTCCATGGGTCAGTCAGGCGGGGCGGGCAACCTCGGAATTAGAAATTCTGATGGAGGGCAGAGGAAAGAGCGAAAAGAAGACACAGAGAGCAGGGGACAGGGAAGTAGATTACCGATTTGAGCAAGATGCGGAAAAATGACAAAGAGCACCCCCGAGTAGTTGCATAATGGCGTTAAGGTGTACCGAGATCGTGGACAGGCGCCCGCACAACCACCCCCCCTCCTTGGGCTTCCTTCTCCTCCTTCTCCCCCAGGCAAGTTGATAGGCAAAAAGGGCCATTGTAGGCAAAGGATCGAGTCATGGGCTTGTCCACTCTAGGTATACATTGCACTTCATCTATGATTATTATTATTGAGATGACAATTCTTGTTGCGCATTGTTCACAGCTACCAAATACTGGGTAAATTTTATTCTTCCTCCCCCCAACCCACCACCATATTTACTATTGCTTGCAGTAATTTGATTCGAGACCATGTCCATCAGCCAGCCATGAACACTCTTTTTTTCTCCCGATTTTTTGCCCTCGAGTAAAGTACTACTAGATACTACTACAATACGTAGTTAGCCCTCAGTAGTAGGAGGAATTTGTAACCCTCCTACTTTTGGCCTCACCCTTGGCTGGTGGCGCCCATTGGCCGCCGCTAACCCTCATCCGCACCGGACGCAGGCTTGATCCCTCCTCCACTCCCCGTGGGCCGTTACCCAGAACATGAACCGTTTGAGTGGGGGCAGTGATTGGTGCAGAGCGGCTAGCGCCCTTTGAAGATTTGGAATCTTTTGGCTTTGTC